TACCAACTGCTGAATGTATTTTTCCCTACTTTCAAAGCTTTGATAGGGAAAACTTAAGGGCTTTTGGGAATATATCGTATTGGCTGGCATGCTGAGTTTCCAAGGTACTTTTCAGGAGTATTTTATGGTAGCAATGCAAGAAAGTTTTGGTTTTCATCAGTTTTTCACAGAAACCACAGTTTACTAAGTCTGATTTTCTTTGGGACACTCTAGTTGCAAAACAGTTGTTTCTAAGAACACTGCCAAGCTGGAGTTTCTTGGGACTTTTACTTGATAGCATTCTTAAATCAAATTAATCTCTCTCCCAGTTTTAGTCTTTGCCACTCTAGAAGATGCTGATCTGGTCCCCCCCGAGACCTGTTCTTTAGTGACCAAATCTAAACAAAAGTCAGCTCTCCTGAAAGACTGTGGATTACAGATCACTGCAGGCAGGCTGGGATTTCCCATGCTGGCCAGAGATATCGCCAGGCATCGTGTAGATGTCTCAGCTCAAGATCTTAGGTACGTGTTGGAGGTTTCACAGGGAGGCCCTTCTCGACAACACGAAACGGCAGCCTAACCACATGTTCCTAATGCAGCCCAAGATGGAAGAAATTGTGGCCAGAAGCTTTGTTTGACAGGATAGCCAAGTAGTAAATGTCACCTATATGGAGCAAATTACAGCCTGTCATGGTCATGCTCTACACAGACCCTGACAGCTCTTGAAATCTGAAATCGTGTACCCTCCCACTCATACAAATTTGAGCAAGTTGCTTCTGCTGTGCCACCGCCAGCCAAGTGCTCTCTCCAGAAGTGGGCATTTCAATGCAGGAACTGAAAATGGTGAAAGTTACCCCCTTTCTGCCCTGCTGGTTCCTTATCTTTGAGAGGACGAGAAGCATCACCTCCTACCAGGGCAAAGAATTTCTCAGCTAGATGAAATGATTTACAGGATGAATAACCACATAATGACGGGCATGAGACAAGTGCTAAATTTACTACAGCTCCGTACTGGCTGATCTTGCATAAAATGAAGCCATTTAGTAATAACTGTCGCTTCACGTCCTGCTTCTGGATTACTGCAAAACATCACTGTTGATCCTTAGTTCTTACAAAAGTAACCATATAGCTTTGGCAACAGTACTCAGAAATGCTGCCGTCTCCCAGCACACTGGAAATATCAGTTGTTTGCCAGAAACAACTCCCTGAGGGTCGCATAGCACCTCCACTGGGAGACAAGTGTTCTAGGTACTCACAAAACATTTACCTTGAAAAGCAACAGTGGTAACGGACCTGCATAGGAAGGTCTTTAACAGACTGCAGGAAGACCCTGTTTCTAATGGCTCTGGGCATCTCCATCAGCATGACTGATAACTGCTGCTGAACTTGGTGAAACAGGTTGTTTACAAGTCCTGACCTAATATGTATTTTCCTGAATGAAAGTGTGATAGACAGTAACATGTCATTATGCAAATTGAAGCAGCTGGAAGGTTCTTGTTTTGGCCAGACAGCAGCTCTAGGGGATCTTTCAGCATAATGTTGTTTTTCAGTTCCATGTCTCTTGATGCGTGGTTTGTAGAGAAAGCAGGTTTTTGCAGGCTTAAAATTTGATCCAATGTGGATCAATCATCTCCTGTGGACAGGAGAGCAGGACCCAGCACATCCAGTCCTACATTCAGTGGTGTGAGCCACGGAGCTTCTGTCTGTCTAAGTTTCTCACTCTGTCAGATGGAAGTAGTTTTTTCGTACTGGTCAGGAGAGCTGCTGTATCGGTGTTTGAGATCAAAGGTACTCAGCTACCTAAGGGCCTGGTTTAGGTTTCCCCTGGAGTCAACAACAGTGGCCTTTTGAAGCAGTCCTAGTTACTAAGTAATAGTGATGTATTATAACCCGGTGTATCAGCTACTACATAATGCTCAAGCCGAAACTTCTGAACAGCACCCACTTACAGCTTGAGTCCTGCATCTGCATTCAAGGGCTTCAGTAAACTGATTTCCACAAGCACTGAGCCACAGATGTGACGGGAGATGATATAAGCTATCTAAATCTGCAGAAGATCATGCTGCTGAAATCCTAATTACTGAAGGCTTTTCTGCTTCAGAAGTATTTCCTGAGTTAGTAAATAATAATGGTCACATAGCTCCAAAACAAAAATCTAGGATAGTCCTTATTCAGGTGGATGCATACATGGGTATCTGGACACGCAGAACTATTAATGATATGCTATTTTTTTATCCAATACTCCTCCTAGGATATTAGAATACTCTATTAAGCAGACTAAGTTAAAATTCTAGCTGTTGCTGATCTCAGCTCAAAAATATAATTAGACAGGTCTGTGTGATGATGTGATGGGCAGTTGCTGAGCTAACTTGGGTATGTTTCTCATGGTGTTTCTAAACATGCCACAGAAGTATTAGTAAGCACAGGATAATTGGTGACATGGGCTGGGACAAGAAGATGGCTGTTCCATCGATGGGTGACTAAAGACACATCAAACTTCAGCTGAGTATCAGAAATGAGGAGAAAGATAACCACTTAGAAACAGTTATAAATATTCTGCCTCCTAAAAGGGCTGTTTGGAATGTTTTCCTATGTTTGAATGACACCTCATTGTCATGTTAAAGAAAAACGGAATGGAACAGGGTCTGAGAGTCTTACAGCAGATCACAGATGAGGCAGAATCTCTCCAAAGCCATGGCTGTCCAAGTGAGGCACTGCCAGAATAGGTCTGTTGCCCATCAGCTGGGCTGATACATTGCTCCGTAACAGACACGGAATTTCATCCCATAGTGTCCCTTGCTTCCTAGTGCTAGTCATGGCACTCCTCATACTGGAGCTATAGCTGCTTTTTTTTTTTTTCTCCTTTTAATTTCTTTAGCTTGACAAATACCTGGTGTCTGGTCCCTGAAAAGGTTTCTGGAGCAGGTTTGGTGCAGCAGACAGATGTGACTCAACTGAACCACCTGAGAGAGTGAATGAAACTAGAAAGGACCCAGAAGGGATACAAATGAATAGAAAAGGAGTGAGAATTTCTGATAATGGTGCACAACCCCTTTTTAATTAGACTATCAGTGGCTCTTATATACCTTTACAAAGTTGTTTCTGGATGCAGAATGCCTACGGAGACACACTAATAATTTTTTTTTTTTGACCCAGTTCAGACCAAAGAGGCAAAAGGCCCTATTCTGCACCCTGTCTTTGCGATTCCCGTTGCAACATGTATACCATGGAGAGCAAATCTACAACTTTGTGGAAGCATTAACTCCCTTTTTGGGGAGTTTTATGTTCAGATCTCTTTCTTCCTACACACATTACATATTCTTACCCCTTACAGAACAGAGCATGAAAGGTTTCTGGGAAACTGGGCTCTGCCTTTCCACAAAAGGAGGACAGACATGCCCTGGAGTCCTCCTACACGATACCAAATGCTCTGCATTCAACAGACCTGCTGGTTAATGATCTTGCCCATAAGTAATGTTTTAACCATAGAGTAGCTTTTGTTTGCTTCAAAAGCCACAAAGCCAAAGAGGAAGTGTAGGAGAACGTGGGCAGGACGGTGGCCAGGAGCCTCATGACCTCATCTTTTTCCGCCACACGGGGATTGGTGGCCGTGCCTGGGACAGGGTTTAAATTCTCCGAGGTTGGAGATGTCAGGCAGTCAGGGGACAAGGGGAGAAAGCCAGAGCTGCTGCTGAGATCACTAAGAGTGTTCTGGTCACAGCTGACTCCTCCAGCACCAGAAAAGGTAATTTTTTTGATTTCTTACCTGACATGTGCCATTCTGTCTGCAGGTTTAGTCAAGGAGGCGTGGGCAGATCTTTGAAAACTGCTTCACTAGACAGGGATGTTTGATGTTTCTCTGTGGAAAAAGGTGTGCTTTTATAGGAGCAAGGTTGCTTTAGCCATGCAAGGTATTATATATAATCACAATTTTAAACCTGTGTGCTGATAGATGTCGGGAGAAGGTTACTGAAAACCCTGCCTCTGAATCAAGTGCCGGAAACTCAAAGCTGGTGCTTGAACACAGAAAGTTCCTCCCTCGTGTAACCACTGCCTGGCAGTGTCCCTGTTTCTGCTGGCAGGCTTGCAGTTCATGCTGCACGCTGCTGAGCGGATGGGACACGCGCTCTTCTCTGGGAACTCTTGAAACGGCAATACCTCTCATAGAGTGTCCTGTCTCAGGGCCAGCCTTACTACTGTATTTTAAATGTGCCCTTAGGAGCCTGCCTTTCCTCCTATGGCTTACTAAAGTTTTAAATGCCTCTTGTTCATCAGTTAATCAGTTTAATTTCACAGGGATGTTCTTCATCCTGGGTATTGATCTGTCAGCACAAAAAT